CAGGCACAGAAAAGCTGTTAATACCACCCCAGAAAAGGTCTGAAGACTGTTGTCTAATTTAATTAGAGTAAGGGCAACCTCTTGCAGGTCAAGGTTTTGCCATTAAAGCAAGGGTGCTTTTAAGCATAACATTTGCTTTTTACTTGAATTATCAATTCACTGCATCAGGTTTCACTTACATTAACACTTTAATTATCAAATATTTTATCACTACCTACTTCCTTCCCACCATGATTTCCATTGTGAAAAATATTCTAGTAAATTTATGTTAATGAGATAACAAATAACCAACTAATCTTTATCAGAGGATCAGCATGAAAATAATCATAATCTTGATAATATTTAAAGGCAAAGCAATATATATTACTGATCTTTGTAAAGATAAAGAGGGGACAATATTGCAGTGTGGCCATTCCCCTCTACAAGGTGATTTCTCACGCTCTTGCTTTCTCTTTCTTTCTCTCTCTCTCTCTGGTGAGTGCACACACTCTATAATAAATTTGTTTTTAAGAAAAAGAACAAAATCTGCTTTATGTTGTTTTCAGGGTTTTTTTGTTGTTGTTGATGTTGTCTTGTGTGTTTGTTTTTGCCAGATGGTGTGTGTACTTACTGGAGAGAGGGAGAAAGAGAGAGAAAGGGAGAGAACATCTCATCCCCATGGGGGGGGTGGTCATGCCTCAATACCTTCTTCTCTATTTCTCCTCTTGGGATGTTGGGCATGCACACACATGGTCCTGGTACATTTTTCAAGCCACAGGGTCCAAGATTTGAACTGTGCAGTTGGCCATGTGGGATCCAGTCGCCCTAAACACCACACTACCAGTTGGCCCCCGATTTGTTATTCTAGTTTACTTCTGTGGTGTGCTATTTGTAAACGTTGATCCTGAGAAAAAAATACATGCTGTTTCTACCTGTTTCCATTTTTAATCTGACCAATGTTTTCAATGTCAAGCAAGGAAGTAAAATGGTTACTGCGAGTCGTCTTAATCATAATTAATGTTTTTAAACATTAATTGAGACGAGCTCAATCTACAAATACCTTTCACACAGTTTGTTTTGAGAGAAGCCCCAGAACTGTCTCTCACGCTGGCCTGGGTGGTACCAACCCTTCCATTCACCTGGCCAGAAATGACACTATTTGACTCAGCCTTCTCCTACGATTTAATAAATGCATGATCTAATATCAGAATGTACCTATGTTGAATGGATTGACAGGAAAGCACCTGAGTTTCTTCTTCCCTGCTCACATTAGCACATAGTATCAAATTAATTCATTTGCCATCTTACTAAGAAACATAAAGATCTCTTTCTGGTTTGTAGGAGAGACTAGCAGGTTGTTGGATCAGGAACTTCAGAGTTCATTTAGTTACTTGCCTTAGATAAAATCCAAGCAGACCCAGAGAGTAAGCGCCCTACCCAATGCGGAGAGCTAAGTTGTGATGGAAGGTCAGGTGCGGTCTTTTCCTGCATCTCAGTTTCATAGACACTTCCCGTGACCAAGCCATGCACACCAAAGGCAAATTGGCTTTGCAGAATGTTTCAGAGGGGTCTTTGGAAGGAATAATCAGCCACGGCCTGAAGGCAGAGGCCAAGGTAAATACTGACAGGCACAGAAAAGCTGTTAATACCACCCCAGAAAAGGTCTGAAGACTGTTGTCTAATTTAATTAGAGTAAGGGCAACCTCTTGCAGGTCAAGGTTTTGCCATTAAAGCAAGGGTGCTTTTAAGCATAACATTTGCTTTTTACTTGAATTATCAATTCACTGCATCAGGTTTCACTTACATTAACACTTTAATTATCAAATATTTTATCACTACCTACTTCCTTCCCACCATGATTTCCATTGTGAAAAATATTCTAGTAAATTTATGTTAATGAGATAACAAATAACCAACTAATCTTTATCAGAGGATCAGCATGAAAATAATCATAATCTTGATAATATTTAAAGGCAAAGCAATATATATTACTGATCTTTGTATTCACAGAGTATATAATTCATAAGACTTTCTCAAAAAGTTTTTTTAAAAATTTGCTACTGTTTTCTAGTGACCTGAGGGGCATAAGGTCCACAGACTTGGAACTTCCAAAGGGTGAGTGGGTCTCCTTCTGCATTATTTTATCAGGTGAAGGGAAACTGTTCATGCATACAGGGTAATATTTTTCTTTAGCTAATAAGAGAAGGAAACCTAATTCTTATTTGGCAGTCACGTTGGTTAGAATAGGATAAAGCTTGTTTTAAAGGGAATTCACGCACAGGCCCTCTTGATGAAATTTTATTATGCTGAAGTAGAGGAGGCAGATAAAGCTTTTGTAAAGTATAGGTACATTTTTCTGCCTCCTTATTTAAATTCTTGAGTTTCAGTTACTTCCGTGCTGTGACAACTTGTTTTTATCATGAGCTGTCCTCATTCCTGGTTTGCATCGTGACATTGAGCTGTCACGGTACTGCACTGGAGAGTCTCTCCTCAACTTTACAGCAAAAGTTAATCCGGAACAATTAGTAGCAATTGTCTTGTTTCACATAGGTTAAAATTCAAGAAAAATATTTGAGTTAATAATAATTGGGAAATAGGACAGCATCCAAAATGGTATGTTCATGAAAAACCCAAATGAAAAGCCAATACAAATCCTGATTAAAACCTAACCAAGCAAAACACTGCAGATTACCTGGATTCCAATTAAATGTGACAAATGAATACTTGACAGGTTTCAATTCCAATTCTATTTATGTCAGAATGATCCATTAATATTGAAGATGAAATGACCAGAATTCAAGCAATACCATTGTACTTTACAACTATGAGTGGTCTGAGAAATTGGACTCCACAAAACTACAACTCAGAGGTCAGCTGCTAGGTTTGGGGCACCATGCCTCCTTCTTCCCTTACCTATAGATCAGGGTTAACATGAATTACAGCTATCAGATGACAAATGGTTAGAGAAGCTCAGAATTTCAAGTGTCAGTCACACACAAAATCAGAAGAAAGTTACATTATCATGGGCCTTGCTGTAGACAGGACTGAACACATGGTTATAAAAAAAAGAACAAAAAGTTTTCTTTGGGAAATGTTTCTCAGTAAACTTCCTATTCTATTCCAAGATCACCTGTTAAGTTTTCCATATATGTTTCCTTAAAAGTAATCAGTATGTCATTTCTCATATATACTTATGTTTTAATTATTCATTATTTCTCATTTTAAAGGTATTGAACTTTAAACTCACAAGACAGAAAATAACATTAAAATTTGATTAAAATGCCAGTGGTAGGTACAAAGTCTTTTCTATTAACCTAACAGGCAGTCACAAAATAATGACTTAATTGTACATTCCACTGTTTAGAGTTAAGAATGAGCATTTTTTAAAAACACAAATAAAATGATATATTATCAAAAGATAATCTCAGACATAATACCCCTAAATTAATTAATTCTGCCTTGCAAGGTACGTATATGAGTGTGTATATATCTAATTATTATTTTTGTCCAATGCATTCTAAACACTTTTTCCTTGAATGTATGTTTATCACTATTGCGATTCATATCAAATTTTTATACTTGTTTTTTAAAATTACTAAAAAAAAGTTAATTCTTTAAAAACCACACCAAACTCCAACCCACATACGCACACAACACCATACACACAGATAAGCATGCCTTTATAGCCAGAAGGCAAAATGGCATTGAAACTCCAGATAATTAATCAAGAGGGACATCAATCATCAGGCCCTTCTCACCCCATAACAATGTGGACAAATAATTACTTAGTGTGATTTAGCTTAGCAATACCTTCCCTTGGGGTTATGATGTATTACTCTCTAATGGTGGATTTTAATATTCATAGGTAAACTTTCAGAAAAAAAAATCAGCCTCTCTCCTGCATTAATACCCTCTACTTGCATATTATCACTGTACGGAACTAGTAAATAACAAAAAGTTAGAATGTCTTATATCACTTTAGGGGTGAGATAGTGAAAGACATAAATTCGATTTGAGTTTTCACTACAGAAAACTATGTGTGATTTCCGCTTCCTTCCCTTCGATATAACCGTATTTCTTTATATATTTCACATGATAATGAAGGTGGGAAGAACTTTACCATTCCATTATTAATACAAACTTATTCCTCAAACATTTACTCTTGACTTGAAATCTAGAAAAAAAAAAATCTTTGAATTGTCTTTGGGAACATAAACAAATGTGAAAAGGTTCACAAGGACATTTTTGTAACCTAATTTTATAACTTAAAGGATAATGTACGTGTGTGTGTGTGTGCATTTCTGATCTGTATGCACACACATACACACACACATACATAAAGGATATATATGTGTGATAATTATGAGAATAACCTCACAATAGGGTAAGAACATGGAGTATTATGATTTGTTTTCCATCCTTCTACTTGTACAAAAGTGAGAAAAAAACTCAAACTTCAATGAGAGGAAATTCTACGTGTTTACTGTTTACTGCAGAGAACAAGGTAGTTCTGTCCTCCTTTTCTCCATATCGGCTATCACTCAAAAACAGAGGTTTGCAAATGCTTTTCTAAATATCCAGAGGAAGCAAAAGCTGAGCAAGGTGTGTTTATCACCCTGTCCTTTCACTAAGACTGGATGGCTGCAGTTGAAGAAATAGTTGCATGACAAAAATAAACAGAAAAAATAAAAAAATCAGACAAGACCATTCTCCATTGCTATTATTTAGGAATCGTACACTAATTTAGCATTTCTTTTAGAGCAGGTACTACTCTGATTTAATCGTATGTCCGTTTATTTCTGAAGGCTGTTTTTAAAATGACAGTGCCATTCGGGTGAATTTTATCTTTATCTTTATGTTCCTTTATTTGGCATTTCTGTATTTTAGCACATGTTTAGGAGTTAAAATAAAGTCGTTTTGGGTGTCCGCTCTTTTATTTGGGTTTTGGACTGCCTTTCGCGAGGCTACTTATTGCAGCTGACTAGCGTGATTGTGTGTGTGGGTGTTGTGTTTGCCCCTACCATTTTCCATATGCTCTGCCTCACCAACACTGCCATCCGGCGTGGTCCTTTCATAGTTGTCCTCTGGGAGTGGAAGGGCACCCAGTCTTGGCCCTGATGAGCTCTTACTGCTTGGTGTTTCTGACTCCTCCAGCCCGCTGTCATAGCAACTCTGCAGTGACCCCTGATGTGGGTCCTGAGGCTGACTCACAACAGAAAACGTCACTCTACGAAATGGCTGTAAAAGAAAAGATTCTGAATGTCACTGAGATAGAAGAGTGTAAATGATCTTATTTTTTTAAAAAAATACATAAATTACATACAGTAAGGTCTACTGACAACTAATTCAATGCAAAACGGTTAGATAGGTCCTTATCTATTTGGTTAACTGTGTCTTATCTGAGGCAATGCCCAGAGCTTAGATGTTATTATGAAAAAACTGAACATTCCTTTCCTGAAACAAGATAAGAAAACAGCAATTTCACCAAAACATACATTTAAATAAGATACGTTAGTTCCACATTTTCGGTCTTTTTCTATTCTGTAGTCTTCACATATGCGTTTCACACAAATAGACTATGAAAAGCAGGGTCAGTGATTTGAGAAAGCAGTACATATTAAACAAATTCATTGTAAGGTGATTCCATTTTAAATACTTTTTCCATATGATATAATATTTGAGAGTCGAGTATTTTGGCAGTCTATTCAAACTAGTAATAGTAAGCTGTTAAATTCAATGCTAAGAAATCCAAACATACTTATTACTTCGTTCCTACAAATATATTACCTACTGACCTTGACATTCGAAGTGCTTTGTTGAAATAATAGACCAAAGTTTCCTTAGTCAGTAAGTAAAATATAAACTAAAAAGTTTAATTGTGTGTGCTTACTATGATTGCTTATGGTTGTTCTCAAAATTAAAATGATATACAGTCTTTAACTTGCTGCAAAACTTTATCCATTGAGCCCCACAATTTAAGGCGCGAGTAAAAATGGCTGAAGATCTACTGCGTATGGAATTTACATAGTATCTTAACCACAAAATGAAATCCTAAAAATGTTAGCTCATTAAGGGAAGAAATGAATGTCAACAATTGACAATGCCACATGCAAATAATAATTTGAAAAAAAAATATATAACAATGCCCTGTTCTGTCCAAGATTGTTCTTAGCAATCATTTTATTTGAAGAAACTCAAATAAATTTAAAAGTGATGTAAGCACATGTATTTTTAAACTTATATATCTCAACCTGGTATTTCTACAGCAAAGAGCAAAATTAACATTGCTAAGGCATGGTGGAAAAGTTAAGAACCTTATTTGCACTTTAATAACTTGAATGCTTATGATATAAATCATTAGATACAACTGCTACCGATAGAATTTTAGAAATGCTAAGGATTATCTGTACGTGATAGGTTATTAATGGGAAAGCTAAGAAGAGTTACAGCATTTCCTCCTAATTTATAAATTAGCTTGCTACAGACAAACACATGCTTTAACAAATCTTCCTTTTATTTTGTCATAAATAGAGAAGACTGGCAAGACATACTGTACATTCTTGGCATTTCTAACCCAGCACCTCACCCTTCATGTACTTATTTGGAGGATGTAGTCTTTACAAACAATTTCCTTGTTGTTGTTCTAATTCAAAATCAAACTCAGAATGGCTGAATCTAAATGTAAAAGGAGAACATTCCTATCACAATCTCTTTATACTATTTCACCATATTGGGACATAGTATTTTAAAACAATTACAAAACATTTCTAGTATAAGTAACATATACCTCATGTGACAAAGTTTATTGGCAAAAAACTCTCCAGAAACATTACCCTTCTTTCATGAATAATTTTGATATTAGGAAACTTCAGAAAGTATATGGACAAAAGGAATTAACATACAAGTTTATTTTGGAGCAAAAAAAAATTGAAATCAATTTATACCTTTTTTTTCTTTTTTTGGAGAGATTTTTGCTATAGGGTGCGTGTGCTCGCCAAACAGACAGAGAGAGACATAGAGACAGAAAGCGAGAAATCACCCCCCAGGGGGGGATGGTCACGCTGCAATCCCTTCTCCTCCATTCTCCTCTCGGGATCTTGGGCACGCACGCACACGCACCCGGCTTGAGTTTTAAGCCACCGGGTCCGGGATGCGAACCGCAGTCGACTACGTGGGAGTCCAGCAACATAGCCATTACGCTAACTGCTGGTTCCCTACCTTTTTCATAATATGCATTTTTCATAAAATTTTGGAAGATGTTTTATATTTCTTTATTATGGTATGATTATGATATTTTACCCTATATCTAAATAAATATAAAAATGTTTGTATTTACAATGATTTGTCTTGTGTGTGATTATTTCTTTTTTATGTACTTTCTTCATTTATCTCTCCTAGTTAACTGTAAACTCTCTCTGAATTTTTGATGTCTCTGGTGTCAGCCCATCGAAGAGACCGTTGACAGTCTCCTAAAATCAAATAGCTTTTACACACAGATATACTCAGCAAATGCTACTGAAAAGTGAAATTTTAATGACAATGTTGAATTTAGGCAAGGATCATGTAGACACATTTTTAGTCCCAGACATACCAATGTTTTGTTTTTGTTTTTGTTTTTATTTTTTAAACAATATAATAAGAAAAAGGCATGGGTCAAATGCTATTTTTGATTCAAATTTAATGACTTAAATCTTTTGGATTCAGTCTTCACTAATGTAGTAACAAAATAAATACAGAATACATATTATATTAACAAATCATGAAAAGGCAAAAAAATAAGAAATTATAAAGCGATGCTTTATTTTGATCAAAAATTAAGAGAGTGACAACTGGATAAAGGGGATAATCCTAGAATCTGCACTTAAAAATGCTTATTTCAGAGCTGGCGAGTGGCGTGGTGGTTAAGGGCACTGGATTCCCACATGGCCGACCGTGGTTCAAGTCCTGGACCTGGCAGCTTGTTCATTTTCTCTCTCTCTCTCTCTCTCTCACTTTCTCTCTCTCTCTCTCTGTCTCTGTCCCTCTCTGGTCAAATTGAAATAAGCAGATGAATAAATAAATAAAAATCCAAAATTACAAATGATAAACTTTTGTTTACAAGAGAAAAACAAATAAAAACCTTTTTTTGTATTGTCTGAAATAGTTCACAACAGTGTGTATTTGCTAATTATCTGTCATCATAAAGGTCTAATGTGCAAAATATTACATTCTCTTGCAAAATTGTAGTATTGGAACTGAAATTTATTTTGTAATTTTTTTAATGAACTGAAGGAAGTTTTGTTTTGATGTTTTGTTTTTAAAATCCAAAATAAAAAGCACCACACGATGCTTCGTGCACTCTCTTTTCTATCCATTTTAGGCACATTTAAAAACATCCTGTTAGAATTTACAATGCAATATCAACATTATATTACTCTCTCTTAAGTTTAAATTTCAATTCTGCTATTTTGCATAGTAAAATTCTTATGGTGAAGTATTTAAGTTAACCCTATAGATTGAATTGATACAGAATCCCAAAGTCTGAAGGAGAACTTATGGAAACAAGAATGAAGATTTATTAATAATTCCATGAGTACATCAGATATAGAGAGTTTGTCAGATAGATAGATGACAGGTACATATGTGATGGGGAGACAGAGGAGAAAACGAAAAGACAGGCACATAGACAACTATTTACACAAAACACCCAGTTTGGGTCTACTGAGAAGACAGGTAGATTTTATAGCAAAGGTTATGACACAGGAGTCATATGATTTATATATTCCAGAGAGATTGACTGAAACAGAAAGCAAAGCAGAGTGTAGACTTCCTGACACAGGGAATGAATTTGCATTATTTATGGGAGTGTCACTTAGTTCATCACTGACACTCTAAAGTAGAGGAGTTTTAAGTGCTGATTTGTAAACCTAGACTTGTATTAAAATCACTCAAAGAACTGGAGGGAAGAAAAAGAATGCCAGTACCTGACCCCCACTTAAACCCAAAGAATTCGCATTCAGGGTTGGATCTGCATATCAGTAGTTTTTAAAATCATCCAGATAATGAAGAGGCACAAAGAGGAGTGAGAAATCCAACAGTCAAGAAGAATGTAAGCAAAGAGGATCCAAGAAAGTATGCTGCTCCAGGAAGCCAGCTGGCTCCCTGAGTGCCCACACCAGTTTCCAGGGAAAGTTACCAGACTCCTCTTTCCATCTCGAGATCCAGATGTGAAGACATTTAGTGACCTAAAGAGTCTGAGCTTTGTATTTTTCTGTCTAGGCCAATACAAATAAGTGATTTGACATCCTCTAGGTAAGAAAGAGCAATGAAAAGAACATGAAGAAGATTGTCAGCCTTTGGAAGTATGAAGGCATGCTGGGGACAGCAGTGGCATGGTGGTCAAGGCTCTGGACTCCCACATGGCTAACCATGGTTTGAGTCCTGGACCTGGTGGCTTGCTTTCTCACTCTCCCTCTCTCTTTCTCTCTGATGAACATATGTTTCCTATGGTAAATTTAAAAATAATTTAAATTTTTAAATCTTAAAAAAAAATAAAGAATTCAAAAAAAGAAAGTATGAAGGTACTCTAAAGACCTAAGTAAGCAAGGAGTCTCAAACAAAATTATCCCCCAAATCATGAGTAAGTGTGGTGTTTGTGAGTATTTTAAACAAGAGGGAGTGCAAATCAGAGAGTTTATTTAGGTGAGTGAATAATGCAATTGAGTACTGAGGGGCCAGCAGGTGGTATGGTGGTTAAGGCACTGGATCCCACATGGCTGACTACAGTTCAAGTCAAGGACCCTGTAGCTTGAAAAACAAGCTTTGTGTGCCAAACTCCTGAGAGGAGAGTAGAGGAATAGGGATTACGGGGTGTCCATCTCCCTGGGAGAGGGGGTGATTTTTCACTGTCTCCCTCTCTCTCTTGGTGTCTGTCTCTCTGGTGAGCACATGCACCCTATGGCAAAAATCCAAGAAAGGGGGACAGTCTGAGAAGACTGGACAATGGTGAGAAAGCAAGCAAGTGGGGCTGACTAGACACACTCATTACTTTACTGCATTTGCATTTATGTTGTACCCGTTACAGGCTGTTCCAACAATGATTCTATACATTTAAGAAACTCAAAGCCTTGAAGGTATAAAGCTGTAAATAAATGTGATCAAGTTTTAAGTAATAGCGAGGCATGAAAACCTGCTTGGGCATTTAGAAAAGGTGTTTGCAAAGGAGAAGATTTGTAGGTTCAGATCCCTATAAGATAATG